GGCGCCTGTGGTCCCAGCTACTTGGGAGGCGGAGGCAAGAGACTCCCTTGAGCCCAGAAGTTGGAGGTTGCTGTGAGCAGTGAAGCTATAGCACTCTACCCAGGGGGACAGCTTGAGGCTCTGTCTCAAAACAAAAACAAACAAAAAAAAACTTCAGAATATTTTACGTCTGATATGTACACTTCCAATTTATTATATTTGTTTAATATTTTAGTTTTGCTTTGTATAGCCAATCCTTCGTCCTCATCATAGCCTTTATTTTTGTTTTTAGTCAGAGCTTTTCAAAACTTCACTCGTCATTCCTTCCTTTTGTATCTGATTCCCTTATCACAACACGTTTTTAGTAGTTATTTCAGCAGTTATCCATAGTTGATGAATTCCTCCAAACTTTGTCTGAATATGTCTTTATTCATTTGTATTCTTTAATAATTTAGGTGAACAAATTATTTCATTATCTTCTAAAACGTTTTACTTTTTTCCTTCACTTTTGGAACATTTTCATCAAATATCTCTTCAGATCTTGCCTTTTGTCTATTTTCTCTGTTGTTGCTGTCTGGAACTCATTTTTTTGATGTCTGTGAAAGCTTTCAATCCCTATTACTTTGTCTCTGTGCATTCTGCATTCTCAGATCTATCTGACAAAGCACCATGTCTTCGACTGTATCTCATCTTCTGTTTAATCTATTTGACTTTTTCATTACAATGACTCTTATTTCTAGAGGTTGTTTAAGGTACTCTTTCAAATCTTCTTGTTTTTTCAAAGTATTATAAAATCATTCCAAACTGCCTCTTTATAAAAGTAGATTCAGGTATCTTCACTTCCAGTCTAGTATCCTAAAAGATGAGATTCACATCCAAGGATATGTTACAAAAACCTTCAGTTTTTATAGCTTAATAAGGTTTCCTAAGCAGTTCATTGTTCGTGCTGCAAGGTTGATTGCTTATTTTGTTTCTTTAGAAATCTTGGGAAAATATTTTCATAAAACGTAATCTGATTGTAAGAAAATACAAGCATTTGATTAAATTGTATCATTTTTACTTTGCAATTGGATAATGTTAACATTCATGTGGATTGAAATCAGTCTACCTGTTTTATTTGTCGTATACATCAAAATGGGTTCAACCCTTTCCACATTTACTTCTAAAATATCTATAAGATTTTCATATTTAGAATACCTCACTGATAGATCAGACACACCAGACTGGTATAAAAGGGCTTACCCTTTACAAAAGTGAGATGTGAATTCGATACCATTAAGTTAATTGACTAGACTAGAGAACCTTGAGAGAAGTTACAGGTTTAAAATGCTGTCTTCAGCCATTAAGTGAGTTTTTCCATATCCTAAAAAAAAATTTAAAACTTAAAGTGACATTTGCTTAATTAAAATAATCTCACATTAAAATTTTTGAAAATTGTAATGTTTAATTTCAAAATATTTGTTTTAATGTAGCTTTGTAATTCTTCACAAATTCTTATCACAGAAATATTCATTTGTTTTGTTTTCCCAAGTCTACTGAAAGGCTAATTGAAGTGGGTGAGTCTTCATGTTTACTAATATGTGTTGCAGCTCTATTGGTACACCAGAAGGCCAGAATGGAACGACTTCAAAGAGAACTTGAGATTCAGAAGAAAAAGTTGGATAAACTAAAATCTGAGGTCAATGAAATGGAAAATAATCTAACTCGAAGGCGCCTGAAAAGATCAAATTCCATATCCCAGATACCTTCAGTAAGTCTTTATGTAACTGTTGTGACCTCTATGCTTGAGCATAAGAACAGGCCATCAGCCGTAAGTGCGTGTCTTGATGTAATTTCCACAAATGCTCTTAATTCATATTTATTTTTCTGTCCTTACTTTCCTCTGCCACTCTTTATTAACTAATTACATGAAAATTCAATGCCAGCCTTTCTTACATAGAATTATTTTTCAGCTCGAAGAAATGCAGCAGTTAAGAAGTTGTAATAGACAACTCCAGATTGACATTGACTGCTTAACCAAAGAAATTGATCTTTTTCAAGCCCGAGGTAAAGTTCAGCGCATACTCAGCTCAAATTCATTATATTAATCTACCAGCTCTTACCCTGTAGCTAAAAATAGTCTTCTCAGTCATAACCTTTCTGTCTCAGAACATTTGATTTTGGAGCTAAATAGTATTAAAACACATTTTCTCTTTGCGCTCAAAAAATAATTATGTACTTGGTAGAGGAGTATCTTGATAAATTTTATATGCTTTGGATCCACTTTAGTCATATGTTAAGGAAAGACAATGATTAACTATGTCTAGAAGCATTGCCAGAGTGTTGCTTTTATTTTATTAGTAGAATCTCTTACAATAATATTTATTGAGATTGAAATACAGTAGAACCTCTATAAGTTGACCACCCAAAGGACTATAACAAACTGGTCAACATGGTGTGTGAAAATTATGTCAGCTCAAGGCTGTGGTCAATGTAGAGAGGTGGTCAGCTATAGAAATTCTACCGTATACTTATTCATATAAATTTTTCCTATTTCCTTTTTTTCTTTTAAGAATCATAAGTAACATTCAAAAATGTTACTTTTAAGAGTATAATATAAGAGTATAAGAGCCATCTCAATGGCTCTTTTTTCTTTTAAGAATCATAAGTAACATTCAAAAATGTTACTTTTAAGAGTATAATTTAAGAGTATAATTTAAGAGTATAAGAGCCATCTCAATGGCTCTATCTAAATTGATGAAATAGAGAACAAAATGAAAATAAGGTTGTCCTGTTCTTAGGACAACTTAGGACTGTGTTAGTTGTTTATACTTGAGCTGTTTGTAACAAGCAATAATTTATTCTTATAGTAAAAAATGTTTACAATTTAATTCAGTTCCATAGAAAATTAAAAGGAAGTTTTAACACTTAAACCTAATTCTGAAGTTGAGGTAATAATAGAAATACACAAAATTGAAAAAACAGGAAAGAGAAGGAAGCCAACAAAAAAGAAGCCCTTAATCACACTTTAGAGTGTGTTCCAGAATTCATCAAGCTGGAAGGCAATTAGTTTTATTTCTTTTAAATTGTTGGTTAAGGCTCAGCGCCCACACCAGGGCTAGCGAGTTTGAATCCAGCCCAGGCCTGCTTAAACAACAGTGACAACTGCAACAAAAAAATAGCCAGGTGTTGTGGTGGGTGCCTCTAGTCCCAGCTACTTGGGAGGCTGAGGCAAGAGAATCGCTTAAGCCCAAGAGTTTGAGGTTACTGTAACCCGTGATGCCACGGCACTCTACCAAGGGCAACATAGACTATCTCCAAAAAAATAAGTAAATAAATAAAAAATAAATTGTTGGCTAAGCTGTTTATCTTAAAACAATCATTCAAAAATGCCATAATTTAACTTTGGAGAGAAAAGGTTAGTGCTGGTGCATAAATCTGAACCATTACATTGCACTGATGCAAGGTTTTTGTACTAACATGCAGCAAAGCTATTTAATTGCTTAAATCCATGTTTAAAATTATATTTTAAATTGTTAAATTTTAACTTTCCACATAGTACAAGATTCTGCTTATTCTGTTAAAGTCTTGTCAGCATTGATTAGACTTCTTCCTCAATTTACCTCTTACTTTTGTTTCTAAGTACTGTAATACACCTAATAAATCATATTTGACGTATTTTGAAACCTTACATATAATTTGTGACCAGAGGGACAAAATAAATTAAAAGCACTTTTCTGTTTATAATGTGGTGTTTTTTAGAAAAAAATACTTGCTTAAAAATAAAGTAAAGTATTTTTGAGTTATAAACATTGATATATTTACTTTTTATATATTTCAGGACCACATTTTAATCCCAGCGCTATTCATAACTTTTATGACAATATTGGATTTGTAGGTCCTGTGCCACCAAAACCCAAAGGTTAGTGTATCATTAAGCGTGAAATCTGTTACATTTTAAAGAGCAAGATTTTAGAAAATTTTTATTTTTAGCAACCTGCCATTCTAGAATTATTTCAAATTTTGGCATTCTTAGATAAATTTATTAGAAATATGTTTGTGTATTTTCATTTAAATGCTAGTGATTGAGTAGAATACAAAGGGGTAATATATTTAGCTTTTTAAGAATAATATGCATGACTTTAGGAAATCACTGTATACTCCCCAAAGAGCAAATCTTGGTTCAAAAAAAAGTTAAGTGCAAAGATTTGTATTCTTTAAAATTTTACACCTATAGTAAGGAAGATACCTTAGAGAAGTTTTTTTTATGCAGATCTTGTTTTGTTTAATTTATACATAATTCTAAGTAATCAAAATACTCTGAATTCCAAATAAATCATTTTTTATCGACTATTATTTTACATCATTGACCTTCACAGAATTCTATGTACATCGCTTAGACATTTTAAAATAGATGTATTTTGATTCAGGCATTAAAGTATTTATAGAAATGGAAACAAGTATTGGTCAAGGTAAATCTATACACATGTATAGATTATTATAACATTGTAAATGTGGCTTATAATTTACTTTTAACCCTAATATGAAAGTTAAAATGTAAAAATGTGTTAATGGAATATACAATATTTTAAAAAGCAAACTCTATAAGAACACAAATTGTGGCAGGGTGGGAGTGATAGATGTGTAGTAATTTTATGTGCAATTGAAGTTACCAGCTTAAAATAGAGAAGTATAACGAACAGATACAAGCCTCTAGCTAACCAGAAAGAAAAATCCTATAATAGATACACAAAAGATAGAGAAAATAATCAAAGTTAAACACTTTTAAAAATCATTAGGCCGGATTCAGTGGCTCACACTTGTACTCCTAGCATTCTGGGAGGCCGAGTTGGGTGGATAGCCTGAGCTCTGGAGTTCAAGACCAGCCTGAGTAAGAGTGAATAAGAATGAGACCCCATGTCTGCTAAAAATAAAACTAGCTGGGCATTGTGGTGAGTACCTGTAGTCCCAGCTACTTGGGAGGCTGAGGCAGGAGGATTATTGCCCAAGAGTTTGAAGTTGCTAACAGCTATGATACCACAGCACTCTACCCAAGGCACAGAGTGAGACTCTGTCTCAAAAACAAACAAACAAATAAAAAAAAAAATCAAATAACAACAAAACAGCAGAAGAAAGAAAGAGGGGCAGAATAACTGCCAAATAAACAGGAAACAACAGAATGGCAATAGTAAGTCCTCACCAATAATTACTTTAAATGTAAGTAAATTAAACTCACCAATCAAAAAGGCATAGAGTAGACATATGGATTAGAAAAACAGGATCTATAAAAGACTCACTTTATATTTAAAGACATACGTAGACTTTGGCAAAAGAGAGTTCTTGTAATGGTAACCAAAAGAAGTCAAGAGAATGGTGTCAGACAAGAAAGATTTCTAAGCCTAAAACTATCTCTAGAGACAAAGAAGGTACATAATGGTAAAAGATCAATTCAACAGGAAAATAATAACAGTTATAAATACATATGCACCCCACATCAGAGGATATAAATAAAATAAATATGGACAGATCTGAGGACAGAAATCGATAGCAATACAATAATAGAGGACTTTGATACTGCACTTATAATAATAGCATATCTAGACAAAATTAGTAAAAAAAATTTCTGATTTGAACATTATAGACCAGATAGACCTAACAACACATATAGGAATGTGTACCCAATAGCAGAATACACATTCGTCTTGAGCACACATGGAATATTTTCTTGGATGGATCATATGTTAGTCACAAAACAAAGTTAAGAAAGTCAAGGTTAAGAAGATAGAAATCATTTCAGATATTTTTTCTGTCCACAATGGAATGAAACTAGAAATCAATAACAAGCTTTAAGACTTATTTAACCCATTTTAAAAATCATAGAAAATCATCACAAAGTGCTCCATAGCTGACACGGCTGAGTGCCGTGTGGATGAAAACAAGCAACTCTTGATAAGTGGAGCCAGTTGAAACTTGCACAGATGAATCAGAAAGGACATTACTGATGATTGATTTCTTGAAAATGAAATAATGGACCATAATACAGTCTGTCTCACAACTTTCATAGTGACTTTTGATACTAGGTTTTCTCGTGAAAAGATTCCTGTTTTGCTTCAGCATAATCCATTATTTACAAATTGAGAGTGGGAGGGAGGAGGAATATAGAATGAAGTAAGATTGGTCTTAACAATTATTGAAGCAATAGGTACGTGAGGGCTCATTTTACTGTTCATTGTACTTTTGTTTATGTTTGAAATTTTCCTTCCCTCAAACCTGCCTGATGTACAAAAAGAAATAAAAGAGAAATAAAAGAAAAAAAAAGTACTTAAAGGTTTTTGAGAAAGAAATTTATATGGTGGATACTTGGGTAGAAATATGGTATCAGTCATTTTTTGCATTAAAGCTGAAGTAGGGAGACATTAATTTCATTCACAGAGGCTTAGTCCTTGGAATCAGTTCTGCTGCTGTACAATGTGGAGATTTTTTTAACAGCTAAAATTAAATGCGGAAATTACATGTCATTCTTTGCAATCTGACTTCCTGTTTTATTTTAAATTTTGCTTTATTTAGTTTTTAAATGCACCTAATAAAAATATTTGTAATTCTAAATACCAAATGAGATTATGCAAATGTAAGAAAACCACTGAAAATTTTTCATTTAAAAAACTTTTGTAGGTCCCTTATGGATTGATTGCCTTAAATACTTTTAAAATAATAGATTGAAATGTAAAAAGATACTTCCTTACAGTCCCCATTCTTAAAATTTTAACCTTTGTAGTTAAACAAAAAGAATAGACAAACTTTTACTAAAAATGCTCCAGGTGGGAATGTTTTCTAACTAATAATGCCTGAGATCTTAATTCCAGTAAGAAAGATGGCTCCTCAGATTAAAACAATTATTCTGTGAAATGTTTCCCAGGCATGGAGTGTGAAATGATTTTAGAGGAAAGAAGTCAAATTTTTTCAAACTATATTTCTTTTAATGTGTTCAGAGCCTACTAACTAGTATTGTCAGACCTTTGATTTTTCAAATATTTTTACTTAAAGGACTTAATTAGATTTTTTAAATTTAAATTTGAGGCAAGTACTATATAAATAATATTCACAGTGTAGGTACATGTGGCAAACATTGTGACAGTGGATTAACCAACACCAAAAGTTGGGGTTTCATAATAAAATTTCTGTAAGACTAATCAGTAAGTAAGGTGTTACTGATGGGGAACAGGGTACCAAATAACTTGATTATTTTAAATTTGTTGTTAAAAATTCCTATATCTGCATCTACTAAGTACAATAGTTTATCTTTTAGAGCAGGAGGAAAGGTTATCATTTACTTACATACCAACTTAGTAAAGTAGGTAGAATTTGAATATTGGTATACGTTGTTTTAACATAGTTTTGAACCTTCAAATTATAAACTTTAACAGGAGAACTCCAACAGTGCATGTTCCTTTTAAACTTCCCAAAAATAATTTGTAGAAATACTGTTCTAAATTTATTATCAGACCCAGATTTTTTAAAGTAGGTTTATAAATGTAATTTCATAGTAGAAACAACCTTTCAAGAATATAATTATTCTGTATATTTAAGATATCACTACCCATTTAAATCTTCTAGAACACTGGCCTCTTAAAGCTACACTGAGCTTTACTTTAAAGTAAGAAACATTAGACCTATGATTTGTCTAAGATCACAGAGCAAAGAAATCAGGAGTTAATAGCAAAGCTGGGAGAGAACTCCATTCTCACAACTCTCAATCCTGTACTAAATGCTGTAAAAAATAAAAAAGCGATAAAGTATGACAATATTTTTATACTGATTTACTTCTCCAGGGTCTGTTAGGTTCAGTAAGACTTTAAAAATTAGTTTGTCTTTATTTATTTAGTTAGTTTTTTTGGCATCATTTAAGACTTAAACAGTTTTATCAGATTAGAGAAAGTATATTTACAGAAACTTCCATTTCTGGTTGAAAACAATCATAAACACTACTTAACTGGAAAATGAAACTCTAACATAGCGGTTCTCAACCTGTGGGTCATGACCCACAGGAACTGTATTAAAGGACCGTGGCTTTAGGAAGGTTGAGAACCACTGCTCTAACGTTATTTAATGAGACTGTCAATATTGTTTTGCAGTAGGACACCTTTTCACAATCTTACGTGATGTTATGGGAATCTTTACTATTCGATAGATATGCTTTCTCCTGCTGTTAATTGAAGAAAATGGTGCTGGTTTCTAGATATGGGGGTGCTAATATCATGCCCATGTAGCTAGAGTACCAGCTTGATAGATGTTGGTGATGATCAAACGTGTGTCAGCTTCAGCAGGATGCTTCATTTGGTTAACAAGCTGCTTCGTGCTGTGCAGTACAGCTGGTGTTTGAAGTTGCCAGTAATTTTTTAGACTTTGTGATTTTTTTTACTTCTAAAATAATTTTTTTGCTTCCTTACAGATCAAAGGTCCACCATCAAAACACCAAAGACTCAAGACACAGAAGATGATGAGGGAGCTCAGTGGAATTGTACTGCCTGTACTTTTTTGAACCATCCAGCCTTAATCCGCTGTGAACAGTGTGAAATGCCAAGGCATTTCTGAGCCAAAAGGCCCTATATCTTCCCTAAAACCACATCTGATGTTCAAGAAACTAGTCTGTCATCAGGGAAAAGTTTCACTGCTACAGAGGGTTTTGTCAAATTGAAGGTGTGACGAGATGGTGGTGTGCTAATGTTAGATGTCAGCCCCCAGAGCTAATAATACCTCAGTATAATGTCATGGGCAATTGAAATTCATCACATGAAAAGTAATCTGCCAGAAGACTTGGGTGCCCGCTGCCTAACCATGTACAGTGTTACCAGTATCCCTTATGGATAATTCTCGTTATGTAAATGTCTAGGTGTTCCCAGTACCTTTTCCCCTCATGTCACTACTGAATTTTGACAGGAGGAAGGAATAGAGTGATAGCTTTTTTATCTGTAAAGCTTTCAGTGAAACACTACATACACGAAGAAAAGGAACAAGGTTTAACTATTTAAAAACTGTTTGCTGCTGCATAGTGCCATTGGATAGGGGAAGAAGTTCACACATCTGTGGTACTCTTGGCCTTGTCTTTGTCTTCCCTGAAAACGTCTCCACTCTGTGAAGCCAGCATCTAGGGGCTAAAGATGCAAAGGAAAGCAGCACGCATCGTCTGTACAAACACGCAGTGAAATACCCAGAGCTTTTCCTACTGTACAGATCTCTGAGTCTGCTTTAAGTGATTTCTTTTCTTCTTTATTATTTTCTTATATTTCTATGTGTATAGTGTAATAGCCTTTTGTTAACTAATTTTCTTTTTTCCTTTAGTGATTAAGCACGATCATGTCCCTTTTTAAGCCTTACCTGAGAGAAGCAATGCCTTAAAATAAAAAAGCATTAATGAGATGAAACTATGCACAGAATAATTTTCTCTACTCATTCTGTACTTTGCCCTCGTGAATGCCAGTGTTCTGTGAAGACATACAGATGCAGCACAGTGAGTCACAGACACTCTCATAGGAATTGTCTGCAAGTCACAGTGTATACTGACGTTAGCAGTGTGGAGGCGACGCAACGCAGTGTTTTGTCTTCCACAAGGAAGACAAAAGGTACTTTTAACCCACTGACAGAACAACAGGGTTAAACTTGCTGCATCTGCTGGTGGCCTACAGAACTTTCACAAGAGATTGATTATTGGGAAAGTATAGTTTCAAAACCAGCAATAGCGGCAATATCTACAGCCCTTTTTTGGAGAGAAATTTAAATGCTTTACTGTCAGGGCAATCCATTTCTACACCTGACTTGGTGGCAGTATCCTATGTATTTATGAAACAAGGAGAGTCATATTTAGGACAACTGAAGAAAAGCTGGAAAAAAAGAAAAACAAGCAAACTTGAACACTGAAGCAACCTCAAGCATCTCTTTATTTTGATGATATATTTTTGTAAGGAAAATAAATATTCAGATGATCAGGAATGTATATAACTAAATGGAATCAAGAAAAAGAAATAACAGTATGCATTGGAAAAGATGGAATTATGAAATTATATCAGTACTTAGAATGGGGCTAAGGGAAGTGCTGAAATATAGCAAAAGATAGAAGATGATGTAGACTGTCACCCACTGTAAATGTTTGCAAGTGGCTATATTTTATTACAGGATTATTACAGGTGATCTCTATGAATGTCAAAGCCTTGACTTTCAGGCTTTGCGTTTTGTATATGGGAAGAAATATGACAATCCTAGTTAATTAGACAATAGACCCAAAGCCCTTACATTTGATGCATTTTGTTTTAAAAATAGGCCTTGTTTTTCAGCTTCATCTGCAGTTCTATGTGAAGATTGATACATCAGTTTTTACTTGTTTTATTAATAAAACGTAATTTGGATATCTTGAGTTGATGGTTTTGTGATTTAGCTGGGTATCTTTGTAACAGATAAGTTATTTATAAAAATTAAAAAACTTATATTCTAATGTGGATTTTGTGACTTGTTTTTAAAGTTTGTGGGACAGGAGATAATTTATACCTCAGCAGAACCATTAATCAAAGTCAGAGAAAATTCATTCTCTTTAGAATCTTCTCATGATGTCATAGCATTGAACTGCATTTCTTAGGTTATTTTATTTTCCCAGACTTTATTTTTAACCAATGAAAGGAAGCAACCATGTTTCACCTGAGCCAGAAAAATGAGCATTGCTTTTTATTGGAATTGGTTATAGCTTTCCATTTCATTTCTTTTTGGTGTTTGAAAATATACCCGTTGTTGAAAATAAATGTGATCTCTTGAGCCATTTAACCCAGTAGCATTTGGTTAATATTCGGTCTATCCCGTGATGCGTAATATAGATGCTGAGGATGGTGATGCTCCTTTTAAAGAGAACTTGCATATTCACAGCTTCTAAATAGCATTCGCTGATCTAGGACGCAATTGTAGAAAAGCCTTCCTTGAAGACCTTACTTTTTTGTTGTTTTTTTGAAATAAGGTTTTTGAGGGCTCAAGCAATCCTCCAGGCACAGCCTCCCAAGTAGCTGGGACTTGGCTAATTTTTTAAATATTTTTGTAGTGGTTGGGTCTCGATATGTTGCTAGGGCTGATCTCAAACTCCTGGCTTCAAACGATCCTGCCGTGGGCTCCACACAGGATCACAGGCTGGAGCCACCGTGCTTGGCATCGAATGGTCTTTTAAACCTAGTGGAAAGGAAATATTCTTTGCCAAGGTATATGAGGCCCAAACATACTGGTCCTCAGAAGACTGCCTTTAGGAATTACTGCACTAAAATAGAATTTCAGGTCTAAGAACTTATAGTGGAAAGATAGACTTCTAAGTGTTCCTTGACACTAACTGTTGAGTGCTAACATTCTTTTTTGAGCTTCCACATAGCAGTAGGGTGCCAACAGTCAACTGAACTTCTCAGGGAAACTTTCAGGTTCACAAAATGCTAGTCAGTGGCTACTGTCATAGCTAACACATCAGGCAAAGATAGGTGGTGCATTGCAAATGTGTGTGAAAAAATATAAAAATTTATTTTTCTTTTAAAATCTCCATTCAGTTTTTGAAATAACCAACCTGGATCAGTTTGTAGTCTAATTTGATATTGGAAAATTGAAATGGTGCAGAAAATATTTACAGATAGTATTAGCTGTTAAGTTTAAACTTGTATTTCAAACGATTTATAGATAGTGAAATTAACTGTTACTTCATCAATGTAATGTTGATGGGAAATTCTTGTGAGCAAAGGTAGATTTCAGAGGTAAATGGTAAATATTAAGATAGAATATTCAGCCCATGAGAAATTAAAATTAGCTGTATTGCCCTAGAAAATATTCTGGTGGCACAAAAGACTTCCACATTTAATACCTATACACCAAGTTTTAGCATAATTTCCCACATAATATTACAAAATATTTGGGACAACAAGCAAATGTAATTTTGGCTCCAATTTTTAGAGCTACAATTTTATAGCTTAAAGATGATGTGGCTCAGAACTTTAATTTTTATTGCCCAGCTGAAAATATGATTAGGCAACTGAGAGAAAAGAAAAGATCAAGGAAAACAACATTGTGGATAGCTTTGCATTTGCTAAATTAGGGTTTTTTTCCCCCTTGCAGTATGTAGTAAGCTGTTTTGGTTTTTGATTTGGGGAGTTTTAATATTATAGTTAATCATATAAAAATTTTTAGTAATACCTTGTCTTTGCAACTATAAATTTCCTTACTGGTTCAAAAATAAAATCGCTGTGTTGCATTATCACAGTAACTTATTTAGAGAGGTTCATGAAAGCACTTGCGTTTTTAACAGTGTTTACATACTTGGGTGCATAGGCATTTTTAACACCATGGCGCTCTGTTCATCAGGTAGACCTCTCTCTGTTACAGTGGGAAGGTAGAGAGCCAAGCTGGACATCACAGCTTCGCCCTGTAACCCTGGGGCAGTTCCTTTTGTTTTCTCTCCTTGTTAAATGAAGATAATTACATTAATGTTAAACCCACCTAACAAGGATATTGTGAAGATTAATGTGGAGCCATCATCTGAGCCTACCCCTTCTCTGTCCTACAAGTGGGTTATGTTTTTACATGAATGGGTTTTGAAGTATTTTTCTCTCAACAGTATTAACAGGTAAGTTTGCCATTTATTTCTCTATTGCTCTGAGGCTATCTCAGTGGATCTGAAATTAATGTTTCAGTCATTAAGAATTTTTCCTCTTCTCATGTCAAAGGTGTGTTGCCTTGCAAAAATTATAAAACATTAAAAGGCTGGGCAGCGCCTGTGGCTCAAAGGAGTAGGGCGCTGGCCCCATATGCCAAAGGTGGCCGGTTCAAACCCAGCCCCAGCCAAAAACTGCAAAAAAAAAAGGAAAACTTTAAAAGGCTGACCTGAAGATCAAGTGTGTTTATATTTCTATTTGTCTAGCTATTTTAAGTGTGCATGGTATGATAGAGTATAACGAATTATTTCTCCAGGAAAATAAACACTCTATTCAAAGGACCCGTTTGAACATCTGCGTATGCATTTGAAGCCTAAAACTGACGGAGTGCCTCCCTCCTCAGGAGCCCCTCCCTTACCGCCAAGCTCTCCCCTGGCTGGAGGCAGCCTTCCTCTCTGTCATGATGGGAACCATCGAAACCGACTGATCTCTGTTCCAAAAGTGCTCTCATAGCAAACGGAACAGATACTGCAATTTCTTCACCATGGAAATGCTTCCCAAAGATTAGTTGTTGTTCGGAGACAAGGTCTCACTGTGTTGCCCAGGCTGGTGTCAAACTCCTGGACTCAAGTAGTGCTCCTGCCTTGGCCTCCCGAGTAGCTGGGACTACAGGTGCAAGCCACTGCTGCTGGCTCCACGGAGTTTACAAATAAAAAACTTTCACCTTTGAGCCCACCCATGGGTTTAGTCCCCTTCCACCCTGTGGCCTCACTGATTCCCCTGCCTTCAGGCCCCTGCAGCTGGATCCGAGTGTATTGCAGAGATGACGCCATGTCTACTCCCCTGACCAGAAATCTTGATTGTTCCCTGTTGGCTTACTCCTGCGACTCAATATTGTCTGAACTTTAGTCACCTCTTCAAGATCCTTAGTTACTTTCCAGCAGAACCCTTCTACAGCTGAGTTGGACTAATCACCCCTCCTTGACAGGCCTTGCCCATCCTCCCCAGTGTATGTCCTTCAAGATCATGAGGCCTTCTGACCGCACCTTCTCTCAGAGGACTGGGTTTTGTGCTCACTTGGAGTTCATTGCCACTTTCACCTCTTTGCTTACATGCCTTGTTTTATTATGTGTTGCTTCATTGTGTTGGCAGATACCATGTTTGTGCAACCCTGCATCAAGCAAGTCTGTTGGTGCCACTTTCCAACAGCAGGTGCTCTCTTCATGTCTGTTACATTTTGGTAACTCTCACAGTATTTCAATCCTTTTCACTGTTATTTATATCTGTTGTGGTGATCTGTGATCAGTCATCTTTGCTGTTACTATTTTAATTGTTTGGGGGCTCCGTGGCCTTGCCTGTGTGAGACAGTGGGCTGGAATTTATGTGTGCTTGCTGCCACCTACTGGCTCTTTCCCCATCTCTCTTTCCTCAGTCTTCACTATTCCCTGGGACAACTGCATTAAAATTAGGGTAATTAATAACCCTTCAATAAGCAGGGCACAGTGGCTCATGCCTATAATCCCAGCCCCCTGGAAGGCCAAGATAGATGGATTGCCTGAGATCACGAGTTCAAGACCAGCCTGAGCAAGTCTTCACGTGAGCAAGTGAGAGCCCATCTTTAAAAACTAGCTGGGCATTGTGGCAGGTGCTTGTAGTCCCAGCTACTTGGGAGGCTGAGGCCCAAGAGTCTGAGG